AGAACGCTGATTCCCTCAGAGGAGAGGGTCATTTTCCTGTCCCAGTCAGGGAAGGAGTTTGAGCTTCACAAGCAACCCGTGCTCCTGCCCCCTACCCAGGACCCATGACCCAGACTCCATTCTAGAAGGTTCTCCAGGTTTGAGGGTCACAGTCGCCGTGAGACAACTAAACAATTCTGATGCGTCCCTGGGTGGTGCAAACATGGTAGGCTGCTAACCGAAAAGGTGGAGGTTCAAATCCACTCAGAGGCACCTCGAAAGAAAGGGCTGGTGATTCTAATACTGTACCTCTGGAAGCCCAGCCATTGAGAACCCCGTGGAGCACAGTTCTACTCGGACACACACGGGGTCGCCATGAGTCTGAATCCACTTGACAGCAACTGTTTTTTTGCTTCATTTTGTTTTTTTTGAACAATTCGGAAGACAGGGAGGCCGACGGCCTGAAGAGCAGAGCGTGAGGGAGATTTGTCTTCACAAACCCTCACTTCCACCCACCTCAGGCACCACCTAGAGTCTCCTCCAGCCCTCTTCTCTCCACCTCCGCTTCCCTGTCAGCTGCTCTCTCTGCGCCCACTGCTCTTTCTTTCTTCTGTCAGAACAACCTCCAAACCTACACCTTCCGCCTCTCTCTCTCTTTCACTTTTCTTCCTTGACCCTCTGTCTTTCTCTTCCCCCGTGTCTCTTCTCTTTTGCATTTGTTCGTTCCTTCTTTCCTCTCACCCTCTCCTTCTTCCCGTCCTCCTCCGTTCTCCTTTGTCTGTCTCCCTCTCCTTCCGTCTCATTTTTTTCTATTTTTCCTTTTCTCTCTCCCCTGAGAGTGAGGTGGAACGATTATGTTCTTCGGTAGAGGTGATGGTTGGGTTGGATTTGCATTCCCTCTCACTATGAATAAAGACAGTAATGGCAGCGCTCCCCCTTGGCTGACCACTCACATTGGGTGAGGCTATTACCTACTTATCTCCTAGAATCCGTCCACAGCCCTGGGTGGTGAGGAGAACGAAGTGCAGAGGAGGTGAGGGCTTGCCCAAGGCCGCACAGCTGTCTGGACCGGGCTTGCCCCCAGCTCCCGGCTGGCAGGCCGGGGATTAGGAATCTGCTTTAGTTCCAGGTGTGACTGATTTGGCACAGGGGCCAGAAGCCATTTGCGAACAGACGTTATCTATAATCTTCCACGGAGAAGAGGCCAGGCTCCCTGTCAGCGACACTTCCTGCCTGGGGTCGCAGAGTCCTAAGCTTTGCCTTCCCCAGGGGAACCCAACACCCACCAGGCCAGGTCTGGAAAACCTTTCTGGAGTAGAAGAACGCAGGCTTAGCTGGGGCAGTCTGAGACCTGGCTGCGAGCTCCAACTTCTGTAAGCATCAGCCGTGTTCATATGTAAAACATGGCCGAGCGAAGCTCCAGTCAACACCCTGCCCTCCCTCCTCTGATTTCTAAGGTGGAGAGAAAGCGAAGAATGGGTGCCAGGGCCACCCACCCCCCTGACCACAATGAGGCTGACCCAGGCTGGGATGCAGGGACCGACTTCAGGAGGTCGCTCTGTAGAGAAGGAAGAACCAGGCGTCCCTTTTGTTCTGACAGAACAGAGAAGCCCCGTTAAGGAGAGTTCCAGCTAAGCTGAGCTGAGGTAATTCAAACAAGAAAGCAATTAAAGCCTTTGATGCTTCGCTTGGCAATGTTTCAGGCCAGAGTCTTGCTGTTTGGGGCCTCACACTCAGGTGCAAGGAGTGAGTTATTCAGAAACTGTGGCTGAGCTCAGAAAAGAGGGTGAGGTTTGGCCCCAGCATGAAAAGAGGAACTCGAGTTAGAATAAGCAATGATCAGGGTCTCGGCCTTTTCTAACTGTGCGCGCACCCTAACGTGCGCCTCGGTAGACGTCTATGCTTGTGTATTTTAGTAAGTTGTTGTACTTTTATAGGAATCCCTAGGCGATGCAAACGGTTAACATGTTCATCTACTAATTGAAAGATTGGCAATTTGAATCTACCCAGAGGTGCCTCGGAAGAAAGTCCTGGCAAGCCACTTCTGAAAAAATCAGCCATTGAAAACCCGATGGAGCACAGTTCTACTCTGACACATATGGGGTCACCATGAGTTGGAGTCAGCTCCAAAGGCAACTGTTTTTTTTTTTTTGTATTTTTATAGAAGGTGTATCCTCAAAGGTGGAAACTTCCTCAGACCTCTGGGGCCCCATGGCAACCTGGTTACCCAGTGTTGGCTACCGAGGTGGTCACAGTGGCAAGGACACAGCAGACACCTCCAGCGGGACACCCATCAGGGCCACACCTCTTCTTCAGAACACTGCCTGCCCATCCCCCTTGCTGAGTGTGGCCTTTGGTGACCACGCTATGTCCCTGTGAGTCGGCTCCTGTCGCTGAGTGGACAGGGGTGAGTACCTGCTCCAAGGACAGCCCGTTCTCACCCAGGCCATGACCCCTTAGAGGCTGTGCAGAGAAAGCCTCATTGGCTGAGTCAATCAGATTGCCTCTTGGGGCTGAGGACGCAGACATGAGCAGGTGGGAGGAGAAGACAGATGAACAGAGAAGAACTGAGGCACGGGAGGGTGGAGGAGCTCAGAGGGTCCTTGAACTGCCCCCTCCCTCCTGGCTGCGGGCATCCCCACAAAGGCCGCCCACCGCTCACATGAGTTAGCCAAAGTGAGTCCTGGCAACCCCTAAAGGCAGATGAGGCACCAGATTCGGAAGCTGCTGAAGGACGGGCTGCTGTTCACAGGTACCTGGGATACCACGGCAGCCCCAATGTGAAGATCTGAGGGAAGACATTCGAGGTACAGTCTATATGCTTACAAGTCCTGGGTACAAACGATATACAAGAAGTCCTTCCCAGCTTAAGGCAGAGTCATACTTAAAGTTTTCATGCCTTTGAAGGAATAGAAGAAACCACGAGGGGAAAAAATAGATCAAAAGCTTTGATCAAGTTTTAACTTGAGAGAGCTTAGACTCCTCTGAGCAAACCATCTATCAAAGACGCTAACTCAGCTGGTAAAGTTCACGGAGTTCTAGACTTGGAAACGTTTGTCGAAACCATCGAGGCTAACTGCCAGCCCAAAATAGTCCTCCCTTTAGCTGCTGTGTCCCCAACAAGTGAGGGCCAGCATGGAAGCCAGCCATTCTGATGATAAAGAGCTGACAGTTACCTAAAAGGGTGGTCTTAAATAGGTGTGCCAACGTCAGCTCCTGGTGACATCTACTGAGGCTGAGACATATGGGCATCCCAGACTAGCCACAAACCTTCACATAAGTATTCTTTGTGTATTGGTGCTGTATGCTCATATGGGAAGCTGGAAAAGCCGGAGCAATGCTCACCCTGACCTCTATCAGGCAGAGCAATTCCACTCGAGCCCAAACTTGCATCTCTCATTGGAGCCCTGCAGCACAGACCCAACCTGCTGAAAAGGCAACTTTGTGACCACCTGGGTTGGTTTAAGCATGCTCCCTGGGTATCTCACTCCCCAGCCCAAGTGGCTCCTTGAAATGATTCCTTTGATCCCCTTAGCATTCTGCTAAGCACTGCTTCTCCCTGTTGATACATTTCTGATGATTTGAGTCCCAGGGACCTGCCTGTGGTCCTGCCCTTGAGTCCACCTCTGCTTCTACTACTGCATGCTTGGTCTGCTCTCTGAACTCAGGCAGAATGGATCATTCCCTTCAAGTTTGAGAAGCCAGTGATCATGCCCTTAAGTTCCCTGGTGGTGCAAGAGGTTCGCAATTGGCTGCAAACCTAAAGGTTGGCAGTTCTAACCCACCCAGCTGTGCTGCAGGAGAAAGGCTTGGCGATCTCCTTCCATAAAGATTACAACCAGGAAAATCCTATGGGGCAGTTCTATTCTGTAACACATGGGGTTGCCATGAGTTGGAGTCGACTCAAAGGCAGTGAGTTTTTTATTTTTTTGGATCTTGCCCCTACTTCCCCTATACTTCTGCTTTCTTTTTGACTAAGCCCCAGAGAGCCTGTCATTGCTCCTCCATGACATGGTTCCCCCGCGCCTGTCCATCCCGGCTGTCCCACTTATTGCTATGCCTCTCTATGTCCCCTGAGGACTGGGCGTGACCTCCCACCCCCACCATGTACACACCTCCTTTGTGTTCCCCACCCTTGTGTTCTCATCCTGCAGACAGATAAAAATAGCTTCCCTGGCCTCCACATCACTGAGTTGTCACACATCGTGGTCAGACAAAGCCCCAGGTTATTTGTCACACAGACAGCGCTTACTTAGGGTGGTCTTCCCCAGCTTGGTTTTCTCTTGAAAACTCAAGGGCAAGTTTGCACATGTAGATTCCGCCTGATGAAATCAGACTCCTTGAGCAGCAGTCTTTGACCTGACAGAGCTCTAAGAGCTGAAAGCCACTGTCTCATTCTAAAGGGCCTTGGGTGGCACAAATGGTTTGCACTCAGCTGCTAACCTAAAGGTGGGCAGTTCGAACCCACTCAGCAACACTGTGGAAGAAAGACCTGGTGATCTGCTTCTGTAAAGATTACAGCCAAGAAAACCTTATGGAGCAGTTGTACTCTGGAACGCATGAAGTCACCACAAGTAGTCAGAATCAACTCAATGGCAATAGGTTTTGTTTTTTGGGTTATTTCTTTTTTTTTTTTTTTTTTTGTCTCATTTGCAATCCATTTGGCAATCTTCTAGACCACACAATAAACTAGTGTCTGGGCTCCTGCAAACCCACCTCTCCTTCCTTCCCTCCTCAACTGCTAACTCTCATCCATTTGACAGGACTGCAGAAAGTCATTGGCCAAGCCCATCTTTCTTCACCACCATTCCCCTCTCACACCTCATACCCATGGACACAAATATCCTTGTCATTCCTGCCCCATTGTGTCACAGAGGAGGGTCACTCTGGAGGGTCACAGTTTACCTGCTAAGCCACCCCTTACCCCACAGACTTCTGGTATGTTTTCTCTTCCTCTTTTTCACTTTCTCTGCCAATATAGGTCCAAGTCAGGCTCAGATGTCTATGTCTAAAGGACTTACCTGAACAGAGAACTTATCTTCGTTGGGCAGAATTCTGTAAGTGTAAACGCAATTCCGATACCTGAAAGAGATCAAAGGCTTCATTAGCACATGTGCAGAAAAATCCATTTTTCTTGTAACCAAAAAAAGACAAGAATTGCTGACATAGCTAGAGGAACCCGGGCAGGAGGTATCTAAATCTTGCAGCTGACCCTTCTCTGAGTTGGAGATTAGCCCTGATGTCAACCAATCCTGGACCGAGGCACTGCTTGCCTCCTGACCCCCACCTCCCGCATTCAAGGAGCTTAAGGAACAGGCCAGCAGGGCCATTTGGAAGTGGACATGTGGTCTACACCTGGGCTTGGCAGCTGTTTCATCTGTTCTAAAGGAGTCCATCTGGGAGGGTTTCCTCAACCTCTCAACTGTCACGCTGGCCAGAAGAACAGGAGCAGGAGTGTTTCAAGAGGAAATAAGACCAATGGGGCTGAGCAGAGTGGGTCATGCTGAACGGGTATCAGGCACAGCCACGGAGAGGGGTGCTTGGCTTTGCTCAGGCTTGGCCTTCCCGCTGAGCCTCCGCTACCCCAGTGCCTTGCTTCCTTGGAGACTTTACTCCATGGATTCATTCTCCCAAAGGCTGGCCACCCATCAGAGATCCGGATTCCTCCAGCAGCTGGTGTGAGTCCTAGACTTGCTTCTAACAAAAAAGTGCTAGGAATCACAGCTTCTCTTCTTCTTCTAAAAGCTCTACCTTCTTCTTGCTCAGGGGTCCCCAACATGAGAAGGAGGAGCTACTTTTTTAAAATAGATTTTACTTTTTTAAGAGCAGTTTTAGGTTTGTAGAAAAATTGTGCAGAAAGCTCAGAGAGTTCCCATGTATCACCCTTTCCCTCTTCACACAGCTTCTCCGGTCATTAGCGTCTTACATTCCTGTGGTACATTTGTTACAACAGATGAACCAATATTGATACAATGTTGTTGTTGTTAGGTGCTGTCAGGTTGGTTCCGATTCATAGTGACCCTATGTACAACAGAATGAAACACTGCCCGGTCCTGTGCCATCCTCACAATCATGGTTATGCCTGAGCCCATTGTTGCAGCCACTGTGTCAATCCATCTCATTGAGGGTCTTCCTCTTTTTTGCTGATCCTCTACTTTGCCAAGTATGATGTCCTTCTCCAGGGACTGATCTCTCCTGATAACATGTCCAAAGTACGTGAGAGGGAGTCTCATCATCCTCACTTCTAAGGAGCATTCTGGCTGTACTTCTTCCAAGACAGATTTGTTCGTTCTTTTGACAGTCCATGGTATAGTCAATATTCTTCGCCAACACCCTATTCAAAGGCATCAATTCTTCTTTGGTCTTACTTACTCATTGTCCAGCTTTCAAATGCAAATGAGGCAACTGAAAACACCATGGCTTGGGTCAGGTGCACCTTAGCCTTCAAGGTGACATCTTGATACATTAGTATTAATTAAAGTCTATAGTTTACATTAGGGTTCACTGTTCCTGTTGTGCAGTTCTGTGGGTTTTGATAAATTCATAATGTCACATGTCCACCATTACAGCAGCATACAGAGTAGTTTCACTGCCCTAAAAATGCCCTACGCTCCACCTGTTCATCCCTTCCCCTCCCTTTGGCCCCCTGGCAACCGCTGATTTTTTTGTTGTCCCTATAGTTTTGCCTTTTGTAGAATGGGTTAATAGTTGGAATTATACAGGATGTAGCTTTTTAGTAGGATGCGTTTAAGGCAAGGAGCAACTTTTTATTTTCCTAAAACCTCTGAGAGGAAGGGCAGTTGTCACATCTGAGCACCTTGGAAGAAGGACACATTAGTGGGTAGTCACCCAGTCCACCAGGAGCCTGGCAGAAGCAGCTACAGTCCTGGAAGTCCACCTGCCTGACTGCCGAGCCCGGTAGGCTAGCAGGAGCTTGGAGAAATGCTTATTGGGAGTCTTATAGTCTTACTTGAAGTTGCAAGTTTGTTCTCTTAACCACCATATAGTTGTTAGCTACTGGTGAGTCAGCCCCCAACTCATGGTGACCCCATGCACAGAGCATTGGGCTGTTGTGATTCATAAGGTTTTCATTGGCTGAGGTTTGGAAGTAGATCACCAAGCATTTCTTCTTAGTCTGTCTTAGTCTGTAAGCTCCGTTGAAAGCTGGCCAGCATCACAGTAACACGCAAGCCTCCACCGACAAGCGAGTGCTAAGTGCGTGAGGGGCATCAGCCAGGAAGAAAAGAAGGTGAGAATTCTCCCACTGAGTCACCACTGCCCCCTTGAACCACCAGAATCTCCCTTTACTCCCTCTGCTTGGGATTCTTATGAACCTTGAAAGCCTGCCCACCCAGCTGAACCCCCTAAGACCTGGGGCCACCCTCTAGCTCATCAGATATTTGTTTTGTGTCTGAGATCAAGACAATGCTTCATTATAGAAGTTTTTTTTTATTTAGCCCCTCGCATGTGCCAGGCACTTCACTAAGCATTTACATACGCTGTTAACTAGATTGGAGAAGCCTTAGTGGCCCAGTAGTTAAAGCGCTCAGCTACTAACCAAAAGGTCAGCCGTCCAAACCTACCGGTCACTCCACAAGAGAAAGATGTGGCAGTCTGCTTCTGTAAAAGATTACAGCCTTGGGAACGGTCTGGAGCAGTTCTACTCTGTCCTGCAGGGTCGCCGTAAGTCAAAATCAACTCAGTGGCAATGGGTTTATTAACTAGATTTAACAAATTATACACTAGTTTAAAAAAATTCCAACCGTACAGAATGATATACAATGAAAAGTAAATGTCCCTTCTGTAAGCCCCACTTCTAAGATTTAATACTCTTTGTTTTGTAAATTTTTCCAGACCTTTTAAACATACACGTACACTTATATATGTATATTTTTAAAAATACAAATAATGTCATACTGTATACCCTGGTGGCGTAATGGTTAAGAGCAACGGCTGCTAACCAAAAAGGTTGGCAGTTCGAATCCATCAGGTGCTCCCTGGAAATCGTATAGGGCAGTTCTACTCTGTCCCACAGGGTCACTGTCAGTTGGAATCGACTTAACGGCAACAGGTTCTTTTTGGTTTATATACACTGTTCTGAAATTTGCTTTTTTCCCCCCCCCCCCCCAGAAAAAATCTTAGATGTCCTCCCAAATCAGCCAATCACCAAAAAAGCAAACCGGTAGCTGTCAAGTCGATTCTGACTCATAGTTCAGTGAGACCCTATAGGAATCCTATAGGACCGAGCAGAACTGCACTATAGGGTTTCCAAGGCTGTAGCCACATCTTTCTCCCGTAGAGCCACTTGTGGGTTCATACTGCTGATCTTTGGGTTAGCAGCCAAGCTCTTACCCACTGCATCACCTAAGTTCCTTTTTTAAACAAATCAACCAATTTTTAAAAAAACCTGCTGATTTTGGGGTTAGCAGCCAAGCTCTTAACCACGTCACCACCAGGGCCCCTAAATTAACCAATAGAGATGGTTTATTATCATTCCAATTATGTTCCATCATGCAGATGTACAATCGTTTGTTTGACCAGACCCCTGATGATGGATAAGCAGTTATTTTTAGGTGTTGGCTATTATAAATAACGCTTCAATGAACATCTTTGTGTCCATGGGTGAATGCATCGCTTCAGTTTCCTCATCGGTAAAATGAGGATCATAATGACAACACCTACCTGTCGTGGTGTGGATTAGAGGAGTTAATATATGAAAAGCATTTACAACAGTGCCTGGCACACATTAAACATTACACATGGGGATATTTATTAGGGATTGTTGATAAATCAATCAGAAGGAGAACAACTGGGCTGAAGGACATGGGCATTTTACATTTTAATAGAGAGTTCCAGTTGCCTTCCAACCAGGTTATGCCATTTTTTTCTCCTACTAACCAAATACGACGATGTCGATGGTCCCACACCCTGCCAACTGGGTGTTCCCAGACCTCATAATCTTTGTAGATCTTCTAGGTGAAAGAAAACGATAGCTTGCTTTAATTTGCCTTTCTTTATGAGAAGGGTTGAGCATTTTCTCAGATGTATTTTTTTTTTAGCAATTTGTATTTCTTTTTCTGTGAATTCCTTTCATTCACTGTTTTTTTTTTTTTGATCATTCATCTTTTTCTTATTTGTAAGAATCTTTGCTATATGCTGAAACATTTTTTGCAGCTGTTTTATTTTTATTAAAACTCTGTAGAAGCTGTTTTACAGTTTTTCTGGTCAAACATATCCAACTTTTATTTTATGCCTTTGACTCACAGTATTTAAATACAATTTTGGATGATTTTTTAGGTAATTTCATTTCCACATGCTTCTTAATTGCTCACAGAAAACTTTTTTTTCCTCTCTTTCTCCTACCCCTTTTGTTCCCTATCTTTCCGCTCCCTGACCTATCCCCAGAGCCCGAATTGGCACCATAATTGGCTTGTATACGAGAAGGCAAGGATCAGCCTCTAGTCCAGTGGTGTTTGGCTGCTAACTGAAAGGTTGGCAGTTTGAATCTGTCCAGTGGCTCTGCGGAAGAAAGATCTGGTGATCTGCTCATATAAAGATCACAGGCCTAGGAAACCCTATGGGGCAGTTCTACTGTCATATACGGTCGCTATAAGGAGCCCTGGAGCCCTGGTGGTGCAGTGGTTAAGGGCTTGGCTGCTAACCAAAAGGTGAGCAGTTCGAATCCACCAGCCGCTCCTTGGAAACCCTATCGAGCAATTCTACTCTGTCCTACAGGGTCACTATGAGTCTGAATCCACTCCACAGCAACGGGTTTAGTTCGGTTTTGATAAGGAGCCCTGGTGGCTCAGTGACTAAAGCAATCAGCTGCTAACCAAAAGGTTGGCAGTTGGAACCCACCAGTGGCTCTGCAGGAGAAAGATGTGGCAGCCTGCTTCCATAAAGATTTACAGCCTTGGAAACCCTATGGGGTCACTACCAGTAGGAATCGACTGGAGGGCAGCGGGTGTGAGTTGAAAATACTTAACCACTGCTAACAGCCACACCAACCAGTGTCACGTCCCCTCCCAGAGACAACTCCAAGAGCCAGCCCCCACCCACCTCCGCCCCCTCTGCAGCGCCCAGGGAGACAAACGCCAGAGCCAGGCCTGAACCTTGCTGTTCTTTTATCTTTCAACACAGGCTTTTGTGGCACTTCCTCTTGTAGATATGCAAATGCAGCGAGGGTGAGAAGAGGCTCTTATTTGGCTGAGGGCAGCGAATTTATGGGAGGCCCCAGCAGCCGGCCCAGAACGTCAGTTTGTCGACAGAAGGAAAGAACTGAGTCACAAGCGGAGAGACGGACAACCATCGGCACAGGAAGGCCCTCTCATTAATCAAGAGGCTTTTTTGTGGCTTTTTCAGAGAGGACCTAGAAACACTGACGCAAAATAACTACAAAACTAAATCTCCATGTTACTGAAACAGATCAGAATCCCGAAGCTAGTACAATAGGAAGAGAAGCTTAGAAAGTCCTTCTCCAAAGTCCTGGGTTTGATGAGAGGCTCTCTGCATCTCCAGTGCCCCAACCGACACCCTGGGGCAGAATTAGTTTAGAAATTCAAGGGAAATTTACAGCATCGCCACCCTTGCCGCTGCCACATACACGGATGGGGAGAATAGAGTCCCAAACTGCCCTCTGGGGTGTGCGGGCTCTGCAGGGAGGTGGAGGAGGGCACCCCTCGGCCTGCCCACTCACCAGCAGCTACACTTAGCCCTGGTCATATATGAATACACACAACACATCCATACCAAAACCAAAAACCAAACCCATTGCCATAGTGTTGAGTTGGACTCACAGAGACCCCATAGGACAGAGCAGAACTGCCCCATAGGGTTTCCAAGGAGCAGCTGGTGGATTCGTACTGCCAACCTCTTGGTTAGCAGCCATAGCACTTAACCACTGCACCACCAGGGCTCCCATACATCCATAGCCATGTGCGTATACATATACACATAATATACTCATACATTTGCAGTGAAGCCTGTGAGAGCTGGAATTTGGCAGGACTGCCTTGTTTTTTCCAGGTCTCGAGACAGTTT